GCTTCAACCACAGCCGGCTCATGCGTCACTGTAGCTGGTCTATCATGATCTATCGTCTCCAAACTTGGTTATCGCAGTGTCCTGCTATATGATCCAATACTTCGCGACTGATGCCCAGGGCGTCTGCTCGTTCTTGTAGCGAATTCCACTGTTCAGCATTTGTTTGCTGAGCATGTCCAGCAACACTGAAGAGCCCAGAAACCCTTTTATATACTATTCTTCTGGAACGGTTCACTGCTGCAGTTAAGCCTAGGGAATGAGCTCTTTCAGACATAGCAATAAACTCTTCTTTTGTGCCAGATGTTGCCTTTTGCAGAAGTTGCAGCTCAATACTTTTCATTCTCGCTTTGAAAGCAACGCTAGACTTCCTGACAAGATCGTCCATACCCATTCTTTGTGCATTTTGTAGCCACTGCTCAAACGCGCTGTGTAACTCTTTGTCAATGGCTACCTCTATGCTCCGTGCGACTACATTCTCCCTTGCTGATATAGCAGCCTCCGTTTTCATGGCGACCTCATCCAATCCAATTTTCCTCGCATCTTCTATACGCTTTTCTAGTGCCGGTCTGTCCGCATCCCATGTTTGGATTACCTGAGCTAGCCATTCAGATATCTGACACCTTTTCAAGATCATCTCCTCCTCCAAACTGGCAACCTCATCAACGAGACCTAGTCTGTTTGCACGCTCCATGTACATCATATAATCACCAATGTCTCCATCCCGAATGATGTCTTGAGGCTTGACCATGTCGCATCGCACAACAACAAGAAGCCTTTTTCGGTCATGAGGCCCTACGCAAGTGAAGGAAATTAGAGGCCACCGGGAAGCACGAACAAGGAAAGAAAAGAACGCCCTTGCGGTTCTAGAATATTCCCTTTTTACATAGCATTTCGGCAAAACGCACAGCAGCCATGCCTGAGGACGGTGAAGTCCCACTCTTCCAACTCAAAAAAGTGCTCGCACGATGGGCACTGAAATAGTGACAGTGAAGGTTCTAGACTTATGAAGTAGCGAGCTTGAATGGTGGCACCTCCAGTTGGCACGACTGCGAAAAACTGCGAGGCCTGCAGCTTAGACAGCGTTTTGTCATCCATATAAACTCGTCCAGTATGGAGGTTGTGCTGCAGGCCCAAGTACTCCACGTTTGTTCCATGCACATCAGACTCGTTGTAGCGCTGCAACAGTTCCAGTGCCTGTTGATGTGTGATGCCATCCTTTAGGAAGACTTGAACCTGGCACGTGACAAAACGATGCGCGCCTCAATAAACTCCATACTTTCCGAACCTTACCACAGGAAGCTGCCGGAAAGTCAAGAAAGACCAGAACTTGGGCTGACGGCATTTGGCGCACGAGTCGGTTTCAAAGTAGGAGACGAAGGGGGATGTCCCAGAGCATATGAAACAAACGGAAGGGCCGATGGTCCTGCCAAAAGCGCGAGCTCTGGAAGCTAAAGTGGCAGCCTCCAGCTTGTCTGCCCAGCTTGAGGGCACCCTCAAGCGCCGCAAATGCTCGTATGCTTCCTTTGCAACGTCGTGTGCACCTGCCCGAGACCAACCGATAAGAGGGGCGTGAATAAACGAATTGCCCACCTAGTTGTTCCCCATGCCTGGCAAGTGTAACCAAAATGTTGGCGACGGAAACCCCTGCAATGGAGTTCCTAGGAATTCGGGCAAGGACGAAGCGTGCAGTGCCAATGAGCGTCTCCGGTAAGGTTGTTCTGAATGGTTCGCTGATGGACTGGTCTATATAGGAGTAAGCATAATATATGTCTGCACACAGCCGCAGCCGTCTATGTTCTTCGTCCTCAGATTTTCCATCCATACCCAGTAACCACGAACTATGTGCAGCATCTTTGAACCTCTTTTCTTTCACCTGGACGCAGTCGACAACAAGTGACGTGTGAGGGAAGAAAAGGACTTACAGCGTTTTCAATGAGCTGAGCAAACAGACGCTCTGACAGATCAGGCCGCCCGGCTTGTCTGTAGACCAAATGGGCGTCCTCAAATCGGTCTCTGCTGATTAGCCATTGTGCATACGGTAGATTCACATCTTCTTGAAGCTCGGGGTGAAGTTTCTTTACTGTAAATGCTTCCTCCCATTGCTCAAGCTCTATATGGAGCAGCAAAGTCGATCTGACCTGCAAGGTAAGTTAAAAGAGAGAGACAGAACGTGTAACACCCACCGAAAATCAGAGAGCTTAGTATATGTCTCCAAAGCATGGGTATACAACCCATGTCTGTGCATTAGTGATGCACACTGTTTAAGTTCCTGTATATCCGACTTGTTAAGCCTTCGTGAAACCTGAAATCAAGAGCATCTTTCAGCAGCCTCCTTTAAGGAACGGGCGGAACACATTAACTTACCTCAATAAGCTTGAGTGCTGGACCATGAGCAGCAAGAATACTCAGAGCCTTCTGAGGTTGGCCCGCAATGATGTACATGTCAACTGCGGTGTTGTGGTCGTTTGTCTCTTCAGTCCATTCGGCTTGCCTTTGAATTATGTCTCTCACGTTCGCTTTGTTGTTCTGGTCCTTGTTTTGGATGCATTCGGCTAGTGCTTTAGCTTTTTCAAACATCCGTAAATCGGCATACATTTCCATTGCTTTGTCAACTTCTCCAGATTCACAGTAAGCTTGAGCAGCGGCTTCAAAATCTCCCTGGCTAGGCAAGGTTAGCCACAGCCACGAAGATAAGAACAGCAAAGAAACCTGGAAGGCATATGTGCAGGCTGCAAGATGACAAGGTTGATAGTCAGCTGCGTGGCTTAGGAGATCGAGAAAAGGAACGTCTCTGAGACGCATAAAGCCAGCCCGAGCTACTTTCCAGTCCTGACCCTTCATAGCTTCAAGTGCAAGTTCCCGCCAGTCCATCTCTGTGACTCCCATACAAGCCACACGGTACGCGTTCTGATAGTCCCCTGTCCGCAAATACTGCCGCATACTTGTTGATTGAGGAACTTCCACAGTCTACCCAACAACATTTGCCGAAGATTTGAAGGAGAAACGAATTTCCCTTACCTGCATTGTAAAGTTCTGAAGGCTAAACATTCTTGATCCCTGAAAGCCAACAACATTGCCCTGCAGCTTCTGCCGATGCACTGGAAAGTCTGCCGTTTTGATGCTCAGCATGCCATTGCCAGAATAGCAAAGCATCGAGTCCAGCTTTGTGTTCCAGGCCACTGAGCTTGCAGATGTTTCCTCGTAACAAACTGTCCTGCTCTGAGGAAGGGATAAAAGGCATGAAGCAGCAGAACGTAAACCTTTGACCGGTACCTGGAGATCGTAGACGACCAGGTTTGACATCTCATCAACAATAGCAAGGCGAGAACCGCTGGCAGATAGATCTAGGCAACGGATCGGATTTTTGTGACTGTACAAATTCACTGCAAAGGCATTGTTTATCCACAGCCGTACAACCTGTCCAGCCTTCGTCCCAACAAGCAAACCTTCTCCTCCTACCGGTCCTCCACAAACCTGTACTTGTCGGCCCATAAAAGGGGACAACAAGAAAAAGAGAGCTCACCTTGATATAGCGAATTGAGGATTCAAGAAACCATTCACGTTCTTTCGTCCCAGACAAGGAATAAAGCTGCAGCTCCGTTTCCTGCCATCCGAAGCCATCTCAGCAAGAGAAGGAAAGGGTTAGAAACAAGTCTTACATGGCACAGAATGAAGTGGCGTGATGTAAGTACCAACAGGTTGCATTCCATCCGTCCGTTAAGCTTTGCGCGAACTTGATAGTCAGATGCAGCAAGGCCACTTCCATGCAATTGATACACAATGATTTTGGTAGGCATCTGTATTGCTAGGTTGTTTTGATAAACTGCAATTTTCTTCACGTAGTCGTGACACTTGATACGGACCTGGCATTGCACAATGTTGTGAGCAAAGGGGTTGAGGGATGAAGGCTAAACCTTTTCGTTGGAGATGAGGTTCTGGACAACGACACTGGTCAGTGTGTCTCTGTATGCGTACCTTTCTTGGTATAAGCTGTGAACCTGAGGCAGACAAGACATATAAGACCTTACTCGGACATGGCATTACCATTGAAAACACCAGCTGCAACATAGAGATGCTCCCATCATTGCATCCCACCGCAACGTAGTCTGCCTTGGGGTGAGAGCGAACGGCCCAAACCCAATCGCTCGTCTCACATATCGTGGTAAGTTGGATGCCTTCGTTGGACAGAAGCTCTACCTGCAAGTGGAGGGCAGGGTAGTCGACGAAAAGGGCAGCCAGTGGAGCTCATCACCTTTCGACCAGATCCAGCAACGCAGAGATACCTGCCATCACACGTGTACGAGATGCTGCAGGGATCGAAGCCCAAGTCTGTGCATCTCCCAAACTGGCAAGACCACAGGTAGACGCATGCTTTTTCAAAAAGCAAACCAGCGAAGCAAACCTGCTTGCCTGATATGTTGAAGAATGTGAGTGTGCCATCCCAGCAGGCCACTGCTAGGGTATCAGAGGCTCTGTTGTGGACGTTCCACTGCAGGGACCAAACTGGAGAAGACTTTTCGATCATGGCCTGGTGGGACAAACATTTGTGAATATGGATGAATCCAATCCCGCACAGCCGCTCACTTGTTCGTTTCCGAATCTGTCACAGAGGTAGACGTGGCCAGTGAACATGCCAAGAGCCAGGATCTGGCCATCCTTGGTCCAGGACGCACAAAGCACCTGACATTCATATGTGATGTTAGTAGCGTTTTCAGCCACCCAAGCCAACCTTGGACACGGTTGTGTGTTTCAAGACTGACTTTTGTTCAGGGGACCAAATCCCGAAATCGCTGGCCGTCCCACTCGCAAGCTTCACGCAAATGGAATTCAATCAAGCAGGCAGGGCTTTTGCGTCCAGACGTCCCACCTGTTGGGTGACTGGGTTATATGCAAGGCACTGAATGGAGTGGGCGTGGCTGTATTTGAGAATGCCTTCGGCCTGTGACACACACACACACACACACACACACACACAATCCACAGGTGAGGAGGAGGAGCTGTGCAGCAGCGCCTCGTGCCTTGTAGGTCCACACGATGATGGTCTTGTCAGCACCCCCCGAAGCAAAGCGTTTCCCATCACGAGAGTAGGCAAGGCAGTAGACCGCACCTTTGTGGCCTGCAAGGGTGGCAACATGCATTATAAAGGGGGATCTGTCCATCCTTCCACCTTTGAGCGAATGCAGAAGGTCGCCGGTTGCTGCATCATACATGAGGACTCGGCTACCCACTGCAGCAATAAGCTGGCTTCCATCTACGAGGCGTGGTCATGAGTTAGCAAGTTATGCATAGTAGCTAGCATGCGGGTACCAGGCCTGAATGCCAAGTCGTAGCAGACGGCCTTCGGTGCTTGCAGGTGCTCCGGCTGCATTGCAAGTGAGAGCGGTGGGCGGGCAGCTGGAGGACGACTTACCGCGTGATCTGCCCACGCAACCACGACTCGCATCGCAACACTAGGGCGTAGGGGGACGCACCAAGAAAGTAAAGCAGAAGATGATGTTGCCTCTCGGGGAATCGAACCCCTAATCTGCATTTGCTACAATCTCAAAAGTGATGGATGAGGGACTCTTTCTTGGATGGCCGAGTTGCGATGTACTCGATGGCATCGGCGCAGGAGACGATCTTGTCCGAGTCGCTGTCCGGGATCTCGATCTTGAATTCATCCTCGAGGGCCATCACCACTTCGACAGCATCCAGGCTGTCCAGCCCCAGGTCCTTTTGGAAGTGCGATGTTGGCGAGAGCTGCAAGGAGAAGCCGTGAGTGAGCCCCTTCTTTCCCTCCCACACATGACAACTCACCTTGAGGATGTTCACCTTGGGGAAGTTCTTCACCACGTTGAGCACTCGATTGGTCACCTCCTCGCGGCTGGCGTACGCCTCCTTGCCGGTGGCAAAGCTGCGCACAGTGGCACCAAGCCTGGCCGCGGCGCAAACCGCCCTCCTCATCCCCAACCAAAACCCTAGCTACCCACCCTTTACCTAGGGCACAGTCCTGTCTCCAATGGGGGACGGGGTCGCGGCCGCCGCGGCGCACCTCCCCGAGCAGGAGATGCCCGTGCACCTTGTCACGCTGCCGCTGCAGTTGCCCCGCTGCTTTGTGGAGCCCAATGCCGCCCACGCCCTCGCCATTGGCCTCGACTGCGAGGGCGTCGACCTCGCCCGTCATGGCCGCCTGTGCATTATGCAGGTAAGCACACATGACATCGCTACGTCTTGTGAATCGCTCTTCTCCGCAGCTCGCGTTCCAGGATGCGATCTACCTGGTGGATGCAGTCCAAGGTGGGGACGCGCTAATGCAAGCCTGCAAGGCTGCTCTCGAATCTCCACACGTTACCAAAGTCGTGCACGACTGCAAGCGCGACAGTGAGGTAGAGTGTGTGCCTCCCCCCCTCTTTGAGTATCTGCCTCCCTCACCACCCTTTGAACAACAACAGGCATTGTACTTCCAGCATGGAATCAAGCTCAACAACGTCTTCGACACTCAAGTGAGCGGCTGCTCTTGTTGCTTGCCTGGTACATCTCATGGCTTTGTAGATCGCACACTCGCTGATTGAGCTGCAGCAAGGAAGGCAGTGGATCCCAGACGACTGCATCTCATTTGTGGACCTGCTGGCAGATGCCAAGTATTGCGGTAAGAGGTAACCTGTCTTGGAAAAAGAAGCCAACCTCTGGGAAGTAGGTGTTGCATATGACGAGAAAGATGAGGTGCGGAGCTTGTTGAGAAAGGTATCGTCGTGCTGCTTCCGCAAACTTGTCTTGCGCTTATGAAAATGTGCTGGCCAGGATCCTGAGTTTTGGACGCACAGGCCGCTAACGAACATGATGAAGCGTGCTGCCGCGGATGACGTTCGTTTTCTCCTTCGGATCCACCGGAACATGGTGCAGAGGCTAGACGCCTTCTCTGCGTGGGAGCTGTCCATCAGGAGCTCGCTCTTTTGCCGGTGCTTCTGTGGCGAGGATGACGGGTTTGCCAACTGGCCTGCTCTTCCTGCTATACCAGGTACGTGCGTGCGATTGCTACCAGTGTCGAAGCTTTCAGTCATGTTGCTTGCCTTGTCAGAGGAGCTTGCCGCTCGCCATGAGGATCCGGAGGAGGTGCTAGCAGTCGTAGATGTTCCAAAAGGTCGAATGGGGCGCATCATCGGTAGGAAAGGAGCGTCCATTGTTGCCATCAAGGAATCATGCAGGTACGTAGCCTTCTTGTGCTGCCAGTTATGATAGGCGCTCGTGTACATCCAGGGCCAATATTTTCATAGGTGGCACCAAAGGTCCTCCCGACAAGGCAAGCTCAGCTGTCTGCTGGTTTTTTTTTTTATTGATGGAGAGGAACGTCCATGCATGCAGGTTTTTGTGATTGGGCCCCTGAAAGAAGTCCGAAAAGCGGAAGCGATTCTCAGAGGCAAAGTTGTGTAGCTCCCGAGCGCAATAAGGTTGTACACAACCAGAAGCTCGTACAAGGTACGCACGCTTAGTGAATAAGGACGCTGGTGCTTGTTTTACGACTATGCTGCGATCCCTTCGGCGCCAAATGACAAACTGAAACAAGTATATTCGTGTGTCGACTCGCTCTCGCCACAGTAATAAATACGAGATGCGCGGCCAAGACAGGAAAGGGGCCTCGCGACGGCAAGGTCAGCTGCTTCCTCAAAAAATTGGGAGGGTTACATGTGGCGTGGAGTAAATAACTGTTAAACAAAATTAAAAATTATAAAATCCATTCATACTCGGTTATAGTGTTAATTAGTAGAAAAAAAAAGTATATGACCTAGCTTTTATAGATGGATACCTTCTGTGAAAATAAAATGGCGTGTGGTGGGATCGTTGTGGCTGCCGCACTGGGTAATATTTCTAAACATTCCGATGCCGAGACTTTGAGTCATTATCTAGAGACAACAGGCTGGGAGAAGATAACGTCTGGCATCAAGAGTAGCTGCGGGATATTTCGACCAATGCGTGACGAGTGGCGACGTGATCACAGCCACCTCCACTGACACCCTCCTCATTCACGACGCCATGGGATAGTTCTGCTCTTGTCCTCTGCTTGTGTGAGCAGCTTGGTGACGGGGATAAGCATCTCTCTGGCGACTGGTGGGCTTAACTGCAATCCCGTTGCTGCTGGGCGCTGGAGGTGTGTACATGGCTGTCTATACCACCTTGTCAGCGCAGGCCTCAGCAGGCGTGTTTGCGTCTTCTTCCTCATGCCCGAGGAAAAGAATGACGATGTTAACCATAAGCAGGCCTGAGACACAAGCTCCCATGCTTCCCAAGAGTGCTAAACTCCACGTCTTGCCCTGGTGACACGCCTCGTCATGCTCACATTAGTGCTTAGAAGAAGCTCTCACCTGGCTGTGGATACGGGCGACTGTTTCAAGCTTCGACTGTGATTGCACAAGAGAGCTGTACACTGAGTCAGAGCTGCTAATCGTGTGGTCCGCTTTCTACAAGACGCGCCTGGTGGAGGACGAAGATCTTGTGGTGAAGACACTTGTTTTCACTCCCTGCGCCTTGTGTACCAATGTTTTTTTTCACTGTCCAGCGCCTTGTGTACCAAGAGCTCCGACTCTGTGTCAAGCGCACTGGTGGCCTCGTCTAACAAAAGGATGGCTGGATGGCCCTCAGCCTTTGTTTCTGCCCTCCCGGAAGTTGCACCTCAATCTGCTCTGAATGGCATCAGCTTCACAGCAGTTGAAGGAGAAAGCAGATTGCAAGTGATTTTGGGCTTGGGAGCCTGGCCAGCACCGTGCTGCAGTACTGTGTGTGAAAGGCAGCATGTATGTCCTTGTTGACATGAGCTCCTGCAGGTAGGTTGCGAACAGCGGCCCGGCGCTCACAGCACGCCTGTCAGCCAATACAACAGCGGTGAGGGGCATGCTGAGCGATACTTACAGTTTGTTTGTGCAGAGCCTGATCGCCATTGTAGTGAACGTGCCCCTTGCAGCAAGCGTTCCGGAGCAAGGGACTTAAGACATCAGAGCGCCAACCAGATTGCTGCAGAAGCTGCATCCAGCATCCGCACCGGCATGCATGGAAGCATTCAAGCAGCGGCTGCACCAAGCGGTCCGTGGTGCAGGGAGTATGGTCATGTGGGCTGGTGAAGCGCGGCACGTTCGAGCCCGTGTTAAGAGCCATCACGGCACGGTGATCAGCTTCGGATAATCCCCGAGTTGACGAGGGGAGGGGCCACACTGGAATGCATGCTTGCCACTATCTGCCCGCGGCCGAGATTAAGAGTGACCATCCACGAGGGGAGCGGCCGGAGCAAGTCATGGTTGGTTCCGTGGAGCTGGAGAGCGGCAGGAGGCGCCCCTGTTTGGAGTGTCCATTCGGGACAACATCCTGTTTGGGAGGGGAGGTGGTGGAGGGTGCAACTCTGGCAAACGCGCACGACTTCATCAGCAGCCTGCCCGGGCGCCCGAGCGCTACGACACTCAGGTTGGCGCAGGGGGTGTCTGATGTCCGGTGGGCAGCGGCAGAGGATTGCCATTGCGCGAGGCATGATGACGAGGCCAGGATGCCGAGTCCGACGGCATCGCCAGCAGCGACGCCCGAACAACCATCAGCGCTGCGCAAAGACTGCATATTCGGCATGGACAGCAGGCGTATAGTGGAGAGCGGCCGACACCAGGAGCTGCTCAAGGCAGGGACAAGTTATTATGCGCTCGTCACCGCCCATGGCCACCACACCAAAGCATGAGCATGAGCAACAAGTTGTGCCTGCTAAGAAACATTCACTGGTTACTACTACTACTTGCGCCTCTGCTTCTTGAAGCTCTGCGGACCTGAGCTTGGCCTAGCAGATCGCTTCAACCCACCTGCTGCGGAGTCGGCCGTGTTCTTCTTGCTCAGGCCCTTACGACCACCATAGCCGAACTTGGCATCCCTCTGCTGCCTGCTCTTGCTCTTGTGACCAGCGAGCTTCTTCCCTCCGGACCTGTCCCATGGAGCAGCCGCGTTGCGTTTTGGCTTGGCATCTGGAGCATCCACAGGAAAGTCGTCCTCCCCTTGCGTGAAGTCGCTGTCCTTGCGCATCTTTCGCCACTTTTTCACGCTCTCAAAGTCGTGCTTCTTCTGCCTGGCCCGCTCCTTCATCTTCTCGGCCTGCACCTCCTTGGCATACTTCTTGGCCTCCCGCGCCTTGCGCCTCTCCTGCTCCTCCTCGATCTGCTTCTTGTCGCTCAGCAGCCGGTCCTTGACCTTGAGCATGTGAGTGTCCGACTTGACCATCTCCGCGTAGTAGTCGCTGGGGCGGAGAAAGGGAGCGCCCAGCTCCTGCAGCTGGCTATACGCCTCGCGGGCGCCCTCCAGCGCCTGCGTATAGAAGCACATCTCTCGGGCCAGGTCGTCCTCCACACTGACGCCGCCCTCGTCCATGGGCACGGACACGGACAAGGAATGGATCCACCCTACCTCGCCATCCCACGCAATGTCTTCCAGCTTATCGTGCAGCCCATCCACATCGTACACTGCATCCCTGCGGGCCTCCTCCAGCGGCTGCTCCTCCTCCTCCTCCTCCTCCTCCTCGTGCTCCGCCATTGCCCTAACCCTAGCTTCGGCCGGCGGGATATTCCCTGGGCACTGTCCACATCAGCCCTAACGCCCAGGCGGAGCAGGCGATTGGTCGTGGGCAAGTCATGCGAAGCTGAATGTGAAGCATGAATCTTCTGGAATGGGGGGCAGCAAGGGACCCAGCGTCTTGGCAGGCGAGCAGCCCCCCGTTTTTGACATCAAGCCCCCCGTGGCCAGGCGTCGATTTACAAAGTCCACATTTGGACCTCAGGTGGCCAACAGCTACACACCCTGCGTTAACGTCTGTGCTCTCTCTGCAGATTCTTTCCTCCAGGCTCACAGAGCCATCGGTGCGATTTGGGCGAGGATGTCGCATTGGAATGGAGAAGGTTGGGCGCACTCTTACATAACCAACATCACCCACTCTCAAACATTTCCCCTTGTCATGGTCGTGGTCATGGCAGCTCTACATCGATGCCGAGATTTCCAAACTGACACCGGGGCTGAGCCCAGGTATGAAATCATGCATGCCGATAGCTCATCATCTCATGATTGCATTTGTGGAGACAGGGCCTGCATACGAGCTAGTTCCCTCCATCGGGAAGCAAGTCAAGTCGGACTACCAGAACCCCGCAGAAGTTGCGTTCCCCTTGGCAAGACGCTTCACGGTAAATGCTCGCTTTGAACCAACACAAAAGAGTCTCGGATCCTCGCCCTTGAATGCTTTAGAAGTTCAAAGGAGGAGACGCACCCGGGCCCGGAGCATACGAAAAGGCATCGTCTTTCGGAGACCAGGTGAGCTGCTGCGGGCCAGTATGGTCTGGCTCACGGAAGCCACTTGGTGTTACGTGCAGGTGCTCTCGTACCAAAAGTCGCCGGAGAAGGCAGTCATCGGTTCCGCGACAAGGAAGCAGCAGCAGAAAGTGTACCTGAGTCAAGACTTCAACAAGGTAAAACGAGCCTGCAACCCTGAAAGCTCACAACTCTGAGAGCGTGCTTTGTTTGTCAACAAAGAGCTTGTACGGAATAGAGTCCCCAGGACCGGTGGTGTGTGACCTGAGGTCATCCATTGGTGACCAGATGCACTCGGAGAACAGGAACGCTCCACACATCAAGTTCCCCATGGACAAGCGCTTCAAGGTCCGTAAAGAACAAGAGTTGTCGTTGTTATTCATGAATTATTCACCGTGGCAGCATGGCAAGATCTCGGCGATCACAGCGACGCCCGGAGCAGGAGAGTATAAATGTGTGGCCGCAATCGGGAAGCAGCCCCAGTCGAGCAGGCTCAATCAACCTGTCATCTCTTTCACACACTCCCGACGAGAACAGCGGGAGAAGGTAAGTGGAGATAACTAACAATCACCTGGTGACAGCTTTTGTCAGATTTTCATATCTGTGGAGCACGAGAGAGGCAACGTCGGCTTGGAGTCGCCAGGACCGGCTGTGAATATCAAGCTCATATCATCCTTGGTCAGAGCTATACCCAAACTCCACACTGACTGACTTGCCGCGGCTGCATGCAGGGCCAACAGCCAAACTCGAAGAAGGTGTCGCCTCCGAGCTACTCCTTCAGCGGCGCCAAGCGATTCAAGAGGGTGTACGAGACACTGCCGGGGCCTGGGGAATACGACTGCTGATCCAGTCTCTGTTGTCTAGCTCTAGTAACGTGACTGAAGACGAGAGAGAGAGAGAGAGAGAGAGAGAGAGAGAGAGAGGGAGAGGGGACATATGAATCGTCTCCCCGACTCAGGCCCAGTAGATTTCTCCAGCTAATTCCACAAACTGATGTACACTCCCGTCGAGAGCACACAAAGGTCCCTTGAGCTTGACCGGTTTTGTGCGCGTGTCGACTAGTTCCAGTCTCAACCGCTTCCTGTGATCGCGTGATTCTTGCAGAAACTCCTGAGCAACGTCTCCGTCCTCGTCCGCTCGGAGGAGCTGCGAATACCACCTCAGTCCCTGCGTTACATGTCTTTATTTTCATCCACTCGAGATTAAGTCCCAGGCAGGGAGAGCGAAACGAACCTGGACTCCACCATTGCCATAATTGCATTGCGAAACCACTGGGCCTCCTCCGTCACTTGTGCTCCCGGGGGCTGGCATCGCCATCCTGGTGCTGAATCCTCCTCCTCCTCCGCCTCCTCCGCCCCTGCTAAATCCATCTCGCCTCCTCCCATCTTCGCCCTCCTTCTTGAATCCCAAGTGGTTGAGCACCTTCCGAAAGAAGCCTGGAAGCGCCATCCAGTGCCTCCCGTCGCCAAAAGGAATGCGCAGCTAGCTGCTACATCCCCCCATCGCCGGAGCAGCTCTTGACCTAAAACCCTTGGATGTTCCCTTGTCTCTCTTTATTATTGTGATCACTAACATAGCATACATGACATCCAATATACAGCCAGCCAGCCAGCCGCCACCGGGACACAAGAAAATGGTTTCTACCCTTCCCCTAGCTATGATGCTCCAACCATGGAAGTCATTCCGTCACCATGTCCGCCGTGGTGAATGTCAAGGACTCCTCGTAGATGAGCTCCTTGATGTTGTCTTCGGAGAATGTGGGCTGCTCGAAATCAAAATCGAAGGGTCCGTGGCAGCTCGGCTCGTCGTTGACGTCGTGCAGGTTTGTGAGGTATGGATGGGCAAGAGCTTCTGTCACTGTGGCAGGCAGTAGTATATCAAGAGCTTTACACATGCCAGCAGCGGAGCTTACCTGAGATTCGGTTCTGCGGATTGAACACGAGCATCCTCTCCACGAGATCGACGGCGAGCGGGGGCACGTTAGGAAACCTGTGCGCAAAGGATTGCCTGGGGTACCGTTGCAGCTGGCGGACATATCTCCGCGCGTTGTCGTTCCTCAAGAATCCCAGGTCGGCGTCCTCTGGGGATCCAATCAGCTGTGCAAAACGCATGGCACGTGAGAGATGGGGGGAGCAAACAAGCAGGGGAAGGGTGTGGCATTACCTCGGTGATGAGACGCAGCTGCTGCACGTAATCTCTGCCAGGAAACAATGGTTCTCGGTTCAAAAGCTCCATAAATATACATCCAACAGACCATACATCAATCGCCGCGGTATACTCGGAGCAGTTTAGGAGCAGCTCCGGCGCCCTGTACCAGCGGGTGACAACGTACTCTGTCATGTAGTCGGTCTCCGATGTGGTCCGGGCCAGCCCAAAGTCGCAGATTTTCAGGTCGCAGTTGGCGTTGAGGAGCAGATTGCTGGGCTTGAGGTCCCGGTGGAGAACGTTTGCAGAGTGCACGTACTTGAGGCCCCGCAGCAGCTGGTACAGGAAATACTGCGCCCGCAAGCCACACCACGTCCGTCAAGCCTAGGTAGCAAGAGCGAGGGGAAAACACAAGGGAGGAACCTGACAGTGGTCGTCCGTGAGCTGCTGGTTGGAGCGGATGATCTGGTGTAGATCCGTGTCCATGAGCTCGTACACGATATACACGTCGTTGAACTCGTCCTTGGAGGGAGGCCTGATTATATCTCGGATGGCAACAATCTGAAACCCACGAGGCAGCGATGTTGGCAAAATGAATGAGCGAAGGCAGCATACATACATTCTCGTGATCCATGTGCCGCAACAGCTTGATCTCGCGCAATGTGCGCTTGGCATCGATCCTGTTGTCAAAGGCATTGCCGATTTTCTTGATAGCAACTTCTTCGTTGGTCTCGCTGTTCACTGCAGAGCTGTGCGTGAAACTTGGCATGAGACGGCGAGCTTTGAGAGCAGGCAAGGGGCAAATCGACCCCAATTGGGAGGCGGAGGAAGGAGCACACTCACCACACAATGCCGTAGGCGCCACGGCCGATGGGTCGAATCGGGGGCACGTACTTGGCCGTGACCTCGAACAGGTTCCCGAAGATGTTGTATTGCACATAGCGGCCGCTGTGAACCAGCACTCCGGTGAAGTTACCTTCGGCGGCAGCAGCAGCTGCCTCCATGGCTTCGCTCTGCTGCATACCCTGCTTCCTTGGCCTGGGCGTGCGCGTGGCTCCAGGAACCCTAAAAACCCCTCCCCCCCATTTCCTCCGCTCCACTCCACAGTCAGACTCACCACTGTTGCGCCTTTGCCCCCAACCCAACACGACACTTCTTATTGGCCACTTTAAACCCCCCTTTGACATGGCTTTAAAAAGACGCGAATATGCGCTCGCGGACTTAGGGTACAAGTGGCTATGGCGGAGGAGGAGGAGGAGGAGATCAGAGCGCCCCTGCTCACGGGTGAGTCGGACGCGAGCTCATGGGATCCGGAGGCACTCGATCCTTCCCCTCCTGGTGCTGCAGCTGCTGCCGCCACCGCCCTGCCCGAGACCTTGAACAATGAGCTGGGGATCGAGAGCCTCGACTACGATCCAGTCTTTAGCGTCGTCCACGCCAAGACAACCACGATCAAGCAAAATCGGCGCCTCTACGGGTAAAAAACCCCCCTCCCGTCTTATTGTCTTATCTCAGCAGCAAACTAAAAATGCCACAGCTACACGGGGGCGACGTTGGCCAAGTGGAGCATCACGATTTGCATTGGCGTTCTCGTGGGTATGTGTGTGGACGAATCGAATGCCATACCTCAACTTGCCATGTTTTCAGGCTTGATCGCGTACGTGATCGAATCGTCTCAGGAGTTCCTAGTCACGGAGAAGGTTAACACTCGCGACTGCACTCGTAGCTCTCACCTGTTGTCGTTTCTTTTCCATGGCCGCCAGAAATCATTTGCTCAGAAAACAGTGGAGGGGAGCCTCATTCTGTCCTTCCTTGGATTTGCGGGTTTCAGCGTTCTCCTGATCCTCATCTCCAGCTGCCTTGTTCTGTTTTGGGCTCCTCCAGCTGCTGGTGGAGGGGTAAGCTGCTCACATACGTCTCTCATCTCACGGGTGATGTGACGCAGGTAACTCTTGTCATGGCTTATCTCAATGGGAACGATATCCCCGATTTTTTCAAGCTTAGCACACTTATCACAAAAGTAACCCTGTTGATCGCTTCTTGTTATTCAACATGCTGATCAGCTCGTGTCAGATTATTGGAACAATCTGTAGCATCTCGTCTGGCCTGTTGGTAGGATTCAAAATGATTCATTGCTTTCTAACTCGACACGTTTGTGCAGGTCGGCCAGGAAGCTCCAATGGTTCACATTGGAGCTGCGATCGCTTCAGCAATGACTTGGATGCACGGATCACTGCCGTCGGACAAAGATGCCAGCACCAAAAGCTCGCGATCGTGCTGGAATGCAAAAGCCACGAACTTTGTAAGTGCACCCGTGCCTAGAATCCGTTGATTGAATCTCTCGCAGGACTTCTACAACGACAAAGATCGTCGAGAGTTTATTTCAGCCGGTGCTGCAGCCGGGTAAGCTCAAGTTTGATACGCCAAACTTATTTATCTATTTATTTCCAGCTTAGCCGCAGCTTTTGGTGCGCCGATTGGCGGGGTATTGTATTCTTTAGAAGAAGCTTCGAGTTTTTGGTCTAAGAAGGTAAACTGTGGACCGTCTTTACTCATGGCGCTGTTTCAAACTTTAGGTGATGTGGAGATCACTTCTTTGTTGTACCTGCGCAACAATGGTACTGGCATCAATCAATGAATGGTAAGTCTTTTTTTTTTCTTTTCTTTTTTAAATTTTTTGTGCAATTTACCCCCCACTTCAGGCAGTTTTCAATGGCTTTGCCTGGCAGCATGGCGTTTCGTCAGCTTAAGGTACTAGTTGCTGGGCGCATATCCTTTCTCTTACACTTTAATCTTCTCATCGGCAGCCTGGCTTTCGAATCAGAGACTTACCACTGTTCGCGGTTACGAGCGTTTTTGCTGGTGTCCTGGGCGCGTTTGTAAATATCGTTCATGACAGGGTTGATCGTTTAAGACCTGCAGCAACACGAAAGTTTTCAAGGTGATATATCAGCGCTCGTTATCCATAAATGATTGTTTGGTTTCTTTTTAAAGACTTTTGGAGGTTTGCGGTATCACCGTCATATCCGTCGCGGTAATGTACTTGCTTCCTCTTGCTCTGGGGTCGTGCTTACAAGTTCCCGAGGGTCCTCTCCCTGACGGGTATGTACTCAAAGGATGTTTGTAACTAATAAGTAGATGCTTGCAAACTTCAGGAAAATGGACGAAAAGTATTGGCTACGATACAAGTGCTCCAAAGGTGAATACAATGATCTGGCTACACTACTATTCTCTCTTCCTCGAAAGGTATTCGGCGTAAGCGCGCTAGGTCCTACTTATGGCAAGTTGTGTTTGTCATTTCAGAGCATGCAACAGCTATATAACATGCAAGGAGTAAAGCATCAGTTTCCAACAGCAGACCTGGCGATTCATACCGGATCAGTACTTTTCTTGTTTATTATTGCGTATGGAACAGCCACTCCTGGTGGCATTTTCATGCCCTCCATGCTCGTAAGCACCTCCTTGTTTTCTTTTCCTTGACTTCCAAGCTGCCAATGTCAGGCTGGAGCATCCTTCGGAGCATGCATGGGAACAATTTTTCAGGCAATTTTTCCAGGGTAGGCTGGTTATTACTTACTTTTCCACATAAATCTCATGGAGTCTTTTGCAGTGAAAATATACAACCAGGACTTCATGCGATCGTGGGATCAACTGCAATGCTGGGAGGGGTGTTCCGGGCCTCCATATCTTTGGTACATTTACATTCTGAACTTTTAGAAGTCAAACAGCTGAAATAAATTGCAGGTAGTAATCATGGTCGAGGGAACGGGTGGCATCGATTTCATCCTGCCGATTATTGTGGCCATAGTCGTCTCAAACTGGGTTGCACACCACATATATCACGCTGGCGCCTACGAAGCCGACTTGGAACGCCTTGGTAAGCAGCTGGCGCGACAATTATTTCTAGTGTGACACTGTGCTGATTTATTTTAAGGTGGAGTCTACTTCATGCACAGCGAGCCTCCACACCAACTGGCAGCCTTGACTGCATCGGATATTATGTCGCCCAATGTCATATGTTTCCACGAGGTATGCAGGCGAAGTTCAAGTTGCTGGAGTTTTGATCCCGTCTTGAAATTGATACTCAGGTAGTTCCTGTGCGGGAGGTGCTTGAAGTTCTTCGCAACACTAGGCACAATGGCTTTCCGGTGCTGAGACACCCGAGCGTGGACAATTCTGGAGCAGGCGAGAAATTCGTGGGTCTCGTGTTAAGGCACCAGCTTCTCCTCCTCCTTGAGGAAGGCCTTTTCTCGGAAGTTGATTCCTCCAGGCAGCAGCACAGATTTTCCTTGTACGAGAAGCCGATTCCCAAGCAGATGCTCATCCTGGAACATTCAATGCGTGCTTACCACCACTACCATCATCCTCACCGGAGGTTTTTGTCATCCCGGCCTCAGGAGGTCGCTAGGATTGAAGCAGAGCTGGCAACGAAGAGAAATCTGGCCGAGGCGGACATGGCTCCAGACAAGAAGACAAAGAAAGTTGTAGCACTGGATTTGAGACCTTTTATGAATCGGGCACCTCTAACGGTAAGGTTTCTCGTCTGGGTGGCACTGACAAACGACGTCGTGTGTGCAGGTTCGTCGGGAATGCTCGGCTCAGCGTGTCTATGTCATATTTAGAACCCTGGGGCTTCGTCACCTGTGTGTGACAGACTCTCACAACAGGTTTCCTGTCATTACCTTGCCTTGTTGTATCCGTGGTGACGTGCATTATACACAGGGTAATTGGGATCATAACACGGAAAGACATTGCGATGGCCCAGAAGCAAGGCTTTCAGAAGAAATCTCTGCAGCACTGGGACTCAGACATCAGGAGCTTGGTGGCAGAGGCTAGCACCAGCGAAACGAGCAAGAATAGAAACAAGCTGTTCAACCTCCCATAGACGGAGGGAGGCGGGCATATACCTTGTCACACAGTTTTACAGTTGGAACGTTCAGAGATCTCAGCAACGATTCTTCTTATAGCACCTCTCCGAATAAGAAGAAACAACCTTGTAGGAAAAGTTGGCAAATAATGGAGAGGATATGGATGTGGGATTCTCCCAAATGCGATGGCTAGTTCTATAAGAGAACTCAAGGAAAAGAGAAAACAAAGCAGGTCTTTAATGTTCTCTAAATCGGAGCGTTCCATCCCCACTGACACGAACAGCTTGGATGGACTCTGCTTTCAGCATGCACGCGTGAAACCGAGGGTGATCAGCCACAGCAATCTATCTATCGATCTGGTCTGCCCAACAAATGCAAGTGTGTTGTGAGCCGTTGAGAATCTTGCTCCTCGCTCCACCCTCCATGTAGTCTTCAGGCTTTAAGCTTTCATACCGAAGTCCCATCCTTCAAGCTCCACGCTCCATGCTTTCCAAAATCTTCCGCCATCCAGGCTCTTTCAGGCTTTGCCGAAAGTATATCCCATCTTGAGCTTGAGGAGGTCATTCCTCGCTCTTTCGCTCTTAACTCCCACTTTGAGCAGCAGTGTGCTTATCTACGAGTATCGATAGACTGCTAGACCCGAAGGCAAAGACCTTTGTCGGCACCACACTATCCTACCTCAAGGCTAGCTCTCATCCATGCTGCTTGTAGTGGACAGAGGTAGCATCTCAATACTGCCGCTGCTCACCTCTTCGGATGCTGCTGGCCGCTGCTGCTGCTGCTGCTCGCGATTGATTTCATACTCGTCATTGGAAACCGAGTTGCAATTGACCACCAGCCACGGCTGACGCTCTTCCTGGAACAGTCTGACAGACGCCAAGAAAACATCGGTCAGTACCAAGCTCAGGTGTAGAGCAGAGGGTTGACGCTTACGGGTGCTTGCAGAGCATGGGGGCCTGAAAAATCACAGTGTACTTGCATGTGGGAGATTCTTTGATGGAGCTGATTAGTAACATCCCGGAGTCTGCACATACAAATCGGACCTGCCAGAACACTGGCTGCTTAGCGGAGTACATCAATTGGTAGGATCGTCTCTTACTTCTGTCTCCCTTGGAGCACCCGTAAGATCGCACTTGGTACCATTCACGTACATATGTGCGAAGTACCTAGGACGCGGCGAGAGGTTAGTTTCTCTGGGACGAAACAGAGCAGTGCTCACTTGAGTGCAGCAGTTTGCGAGCGTGGATCCTTTTGAATCAAAACTGGGGTGGATGAGTGAAGGCGAGCGGTCGCTTCGGCATCATACACGCCCAAAACAAATTCCTGAGCTTCCTGTAGACTGGGAAGATTAGAGCGACCGGAAATTGCTGAGGAAGGACTCTTGCTAACCTGGCTCTTCTTGTCCTTCTTGGATGTCTCAAAGTGCACCTGCCGGAACTTACCGTGGTAGCACAGCTCGTAGGTCCACCATCCCTCGTGCTGGTGAAAAATATGCATGTAGGCAAGATGCAACATGACGCTTTAAGATTTTACCCTGTGGAAGCACCTGTCTTTGAGAACATCCAGCAGCTCTTCCGGCGTCCTCCTCGAGATCTCGGCCAGCGTCGCTTCCGTCTCGTTGGCCCCGTCGAGTGGGGAAGCCTCTGGTTTCCTGGGTAGAAAGCACTCAAACTTTCTGCCATCTCTGTCCGTCATGCGAACCATCTCCGTGTCCGGATCCTCCTGTCAAGAGAAGGAGATGAATCGGGGGTTGGCAGCGCAAGATCAAAAAGGGAACAAACCGGGCTGTATGGATCTTGCAGCTCATGGAACTGGAGCTTGTACTTGGGGTCCTGAAAGCTGGGAAGGGCACCTGAGATATACATATGTATGTGATGAAGCAAGATGAAGTGGCGAGCTGAGGTACCTGAATTCACAGGAAGCAAGCGATTTGAGTCGGCAAAGGCGCCAGCCAGGAGGAGAGCGGCCGTCCACGCCCATGTTGCCCACCGCGATGCCGCCATTTGCTCCAGTTTACCCTAGCTGGGGAGGAGGGCCCTATAATCGTCCACCTATAAGTTGCGTGCGTCGTCGTCGTCAATGCGGAAGCAGAGCTTGGCCTCGTCCCACGGCCCGTTGATCTCGAACTTGTACTCGTGGATCCGGAGCAGCCAGAGCGGGCACACCAAGGTGATGACGAGCAACGCAGCGGCCAGCAGCAGGCAGGCGGGGACGCTGAGGGGCAGCAGGAGGCCGAGCGCGGCGAGCAGCAGCAGGGAGGAGAGGACGAGGTGCAGCTTCACGGACGCCCGCTTGACGGAGCAGCTGAGAGGAGGGAAGAGCAGGAAGAACTGAAGAGAGAAGAGCATGGTGGCAAAGACGAGGGGTGTGGACGGCAGGCGCGAGGCAATGAGGACCGAGGCGAGGATGGAGGCGTGGAGGGAGACGCTGGCGACGACGGAGGTGGAGGTGGCGGAGGTGGTGGAGCAGCACGAGTAGTCGTGGAGGAAGAGGTGGAGGAGCAAGAGGCAGATGGCGCAGGCCCAGATTGAATCGGAGCTGATGGAGGTGGTGAGGGTGTGGAAGACTGGGGTCATGACGTAGAGGCCGGCGACGAAGTAGAGGAGGTGGCGGAGCGTCGTGGTGGTGGTGTGGCGGCGGTGGCGGTGGTGGTGGAGAGTGGTGAGGAGCCAGATGCACAGGCCAAGCGCCAGGAGCAGCGCGTCGAGAGTGAGGAGCGCGGCGGCGGTGAGGCGGTGGCAGAGGGTGTAAGCCCACACACTGGCGATGATGGCAACCACACACAGGTGCTGCGCCACTCCCACTGAATCCAGCACCGTGGTCCACAGATCCCGCCGTACCACATTCGCGTTCATCACCATGTCCTCGAGAAACGACGAGTCGGTGTAATTGTCCGGGAAGCCCCCCTGCATTCCGCCATACACCACCTTGCTCCACCCTCCCTCATGAGCCGCCATGGTCGCGCAGCCCTACCTCTTCCAAGGAATATTCCTTGTTTACGAAAAAACGGACACACTGTACCTAAGTAGTGTAGGGAAGGTCGCTCTCTTCTCTCCGCTGGGGTCGCAGAGGCGTAATAAGCTAGCTAGCTTGCCATGCTCCGCGCGTGAGCATTGTCGGGCACTTAAGCGCAAACTAAAGTGCCAATTAAGCGCAAAGCGGGGATGCTTAGGGCATATACGGCGTGCAGAGCATCTCCCCGATGTGGGCGAGAGAGAATATCTACTCCCATTGCTTGCTGGGCTTCCGGCGGGCAGCTGTTACGGAGAGAGCACCATACGCGCACTAGTTTCTTCCTTTCTTTTCCTTGCCCCGTCCCGTCCCGTCCTCCTCTAATCATCAGCTCGGGAATCAGGCACCAACTAAGTGTTGGTGACTTTGAGATCCGCCCCCCCCCCCCCCCCCCCACTTCACTCGTCTCCTCCCCGTTGCGTTGCTTTAATACCCACAGCGGAGGCAGGCGCACATCTCCTCAGATTTGCTAACAGAGAGAGCACACGCGACAAGATCTCCCCCTCGATTGTACGCAGCTACAGCTCCCAGGTACATATTAGCGCTCCCTCTCTCCCTTGGTTGCCATGGCACCAGATTTGCTTGCCTTGAGTGCCTTGTCGCTGGAAGCAGATTCGCTTCGCAATGGCGACCCCTGCTACCCTCTCCCCTCGGACTCGTCCAAGAACGCCCCCAACAAGGCAGCTGCAGCCGAGAGAAGCCGCAGCGATCCGAGCCCAGTAGTGGGGGCAGCAGCAGCAGCTGCTGCAAGCAGCCCGTTGCTGTCCCCTCGGCCAACTCTCATGAGGCTCGAGACTGTCAAGAGCAGCGAGTGCCTGGAAGCATTGATGCTGTCGCCCAGCGTCCGGTCCACCGTCAGCGGTGGACTGTTCTCGCCCCGTATTCACTCGTTCGAGCCTCACCCCATGATCGGGGAGGCATGGGAGCATTTGCGCAGATCTATCGTCTACTTCCGCGGCAATCCGGTGGGCACCATTGCTGCCAACGATTCGGTCGAGGAAGTGCTCAACTACAACCAGGTATGGTCACTTTTTGACTTCTAGGTGACACCGATTTTATCACCAGGTGTTTGTGCGCGACTTCGTGCCCAGTGCCCTGGCCTTCCTCATGAATGGCGAGTCCGACATCGTCAAAAACTTTCTGCTCAAGGCGCTCCGGCTGCAAGCGTGGGAGAAGCGGATCGACAACTTCACGCTGGGGCAAGGGGCCATGCCCGCCAGCTTCAAAGTCCTCCACGACCCGGTGCGGAGGACAGACACCATGGTGGCGGACTTTGGAGAGAGCGCCATCGGGCGGGTGGCGCCGGTGGACTCGGGCTTCTGGTGGATCATCCTGCTGCGAGCCTACACCCGCTCCACCGGGGACCACAGCCTGGCCGACATGCCCGACTGCCAGCGGGGTATCAAGCTCATCCTCACGCTCTGCCTGGCCGAGGGCTTCGACACCTTCCCCACGCTGCTCTGTGCCGATGGCTGCTGCATGGTGGACCGGCGAATGGTAACTCTCTTGTCTTACGCCTGCGTAATGTCACTCACTCGTGGTGCTGCGCATGTGTGCAGGGGATCTACGGCTATCCCATCGAGATCCAGGCGCTCTTTTTCATGGCCCTGCGCTGCGCCAAGACGATGCTCAAGCAGGAGGCGCCGGGCAACAAGGAGCTGCTTGAGCGCATCGACAAACGGCTCAACGCGCTGAGCTACCACATGCGCAACTACTTTTGGCTCGACCACCACCAGCTCAACAGCATCTACCGCTACAAGACGGAGGAGTACTCGCACACGGCGGTGAACAAGTTCAACGTCATCCCCGAGTCCATCCCCGACTGGGTGTTCGACTTCATGCCCATGCGCGGGGGCTACTTCATTGGCAATGTCAGCCCCGCGCGCATGGACTTCAGGTGGTTCCTGCTCGGCAACTGCGTCGCCATCCTGTCGTCCATGGCCACCTCGGAGCAGGCCGAGGCCATCATGGACCTCATCGAGGAGCGCTGGGAGGACCTGGTGGGAGAGATGCCGCTCAAGATCTCCTACCCGGCCATCGAGGGACATGAGTGGCGGATCGTGACGGGCTTCGACCCCAAAAACACGAGGTGGAGCTACCACAACGGAGGCTCCTGGCCAGGTGACTTTTGTCTTCAGTAGGATTGTTCCTAACAACGTGTTGCAGTACTCCTGTGGCTGCTGACGGCGGCGTGCGTCAAGACGGGGAGGCCACAGATGGCACGCAGGGCGATCGAGCAGGCGGAGCAGCGGTTGTCGCTGGACGGGTGGCCCGAGTATTACGACGGCAAGCTGGGACGCTACATTGGCAAGCAGGCCCGCAAGCTGCAGACGTGGTCCATTGCTGGCTACCTGGTTGCCAAGATGCTGCTCGAAGACCCCACGCACTTGGGCATGGTGTCGCTCGACGAGGACAGGAACATGAAGACACTCATGACGCGATCCGCCTCTTGGACGGTGTAGCTTAAAGATCCCTTGGTACCCCCACACCAGCGACAGAACTCCATAAAATATACATCTATTCTTTTCTCCTTCCTTTCATCACGAGGAAAGGAGCTCCACATTGTAGCCTAGCCTAGCCTAGCTATGGAGGTGACGCCGCTTGGCTCTTCCCGCGCTTGTCACCGGTATAAGTTGCACAGCGGCTAGCAAACAAATTACAGGCGGGCATGGTCGCACATTTGAAAATTTCATCAATATGCTGGCATTCCCATAGCAATGTTTTGCTTGATGCTCGTTGCGAACAGAACCGGTTCCTGGCTCACGAGTCCGGTCTGATTCCATAGCCACTTGAGCTGGATTGTCTTGACGTCCGTTCCCCCCATCTTCACCTCGCCTGCATGCGTCCATCTCGAGAGCAGCATTGGTGCCTTTTGAATGTACCTGACTGCGACCAACGAGAGCGACTGTCTGGCCTTAGCCTAGCTATATAGATATGACTTATTGGCAGATACTCGATTCACATCCCGTCCAGGTAACACGGGAAAGCTTCCCTGACAAAGTTTGCTTGCTGTTCCGTCAAGGATCATCTGCAAGCAAAAACTTCGCTGAAGGTAGGATTGGCCGCTCTAAACAGCAGCTGCGTGTATCTTAAGATTTGGATGTGGCTATGAGCTCAGGCATGCTAGCAAAATACATTGACAAACTTTGATACTTTTGGCATAGAAGAAGATAGCAGCCCTCATACTTGGGCATATTACTAGGACGTGGTTCTTGTCTGAGAAATATCTCTGACGGGCAAGAAGTTCCAAAGAACTCCCTGGCGCAGTACAGGGTGGTGGCTGGCAGCTCTACAGGTCTTTTGAAAATCAGATCTCGTTCATTCCTCATATGCGTTCGAGCTCTCGTGATCAGGAGTTTGCAAAGCGATAGGCACGAAGTAGAGTTTCCGTGCGGTCAGGCCAGGAGTTGCCAGCGTGATCATCGGCGCTGAGAGCATTGGCGAGCACAACCTGCAGGGGGGGTTCCGATTGGCAGGGATCCTCCACTCGATCGCTGGTGATTGTGGCGACGAGTACAGGTAGGTAGTCACAAAACCAGCTCCATCACGATAAGTACGTGGATCATGCTTGTTTCCAGCTCAGATGGATAATCATGCTTTCCACCGACATTACTCGTGAAATTCTGATTAAGCCGTCTCCCGGGGATTCGCAGCCTGGAATTATATTTAATGAGGAACGCTATCATGTTCATGATTCCAATTCAAGGACACAAGGAATACGAAAGAGTGTTTATGTGTCCGGGACATCTGCGCTCGCCTGCCAAGTCTTTTGCACGGGATTGGACACCGAGATGCATATGGCATGATGAGTGGGAGCTTGGCGCCTTCCCAGCGAGCGGTGCAAGGCGAAGTGGAAGGCAGCTTCAGCGAAGCCGCGCCCCGAATACGCACGAGGGCTGCGAGAGATGCGAAATGTGCTGGAAGCGACGTAGCGATTGTGGCTTTGGCATTTCATGCAGCATGGCTTCGTATCAAGTCTCTTTAGTGATTTGTGATCTGGGAAATTACTACTTTAACGTGCGCAACAAAGCTCAAGGATTGATCTGGGTGGATGCGCCTGGAAAAAGGTGGCTGGCCAATGGACCTGACAACAACATTTCCGAGAGGGTTCCGTGGTAAACTTTGATCGTGGTACTTGCTGGGAGTGGAAATTATATGGTGCTCGAGGACGGGACCCATAGGAGAGAGAATATGCAGAGCGATATCAGGCAGGCGTGAAGTGAGAGAAAGCAAGAGATCTCGTGAAGCTCTCGCGAAGCCACTCGTCCCGGCGGGCGCTCTCATCTCAAACAGTGAAAGAAGAAGAAAAATTAAAAAAGGAAATTGCAACCAAACTTTTTCACTCATTTCATTCCCTGACTGTACCCATTCCTCACCTCTCCAGGGCCACCACCACCAGCCATGAAAGCTCCTCCTCGTGTCCACTTATTCTTTGCTTGTCCAATCTTTCCTCGCCTCCGCTCGAGAGCTCGAGTAAAATGAAGCGCTCCTTCTCTAACCTCCTATAAAATGCTTAGGACAGCTCTCGACTAGGACGACGTCAACCGACACTGGTTCAAGCTAAACACTTTGTCTGTATCCTCCCAGGCCCTCTCCTCTAGATCTCCCTCCGACTACAAGGCCCGGTGTGTGTGTGCGATTGCTTGCTTGCTCCTCCTTTGTTAACTTCCATCCGCGAGTTGCACAATGTCTTATAAGAGAGCAAAGCCGAGGTCGGTTCTCAAAGTTGTTCAAATCTTCAATCCTACAATCATAAGAACGGATGCTGCCAGCTTTAGGGAGCTCGTTCAGGAGCTAACTGGCATGAATTATCAGCCGGCTATAGCTAGACGATCCGGAAAGCTGAGATCAAAGTCCTTCCGCACCACCAAGCTCATCCAATCTAATACTGCTGCTACCACTGTTATCGATGGCAATCGTGATCAATCAGCAGCTCCAGCGTTCTCGGACGAGGCCGGGCTTGCTCCATACAGTCCAAACTGGAGTGACAAGTCTTGTGAAGAGGAAACTAGCAGCAGCGGTGCCAACTTTGACGACATGGACATGGATATAATCTCGGCCTTGCTGGATTCTTCGCGGCCACTTCCAGATTGCACCATGCTTCCGCCCCTCATTTACTGACAGTTTATGGTCGATGGGATGGTTACCGTGTGATCGTCCACGACAAATTTTGTGAGCACTCCACTTGGAAGAACGACATGTAAGAGAGAAAGAGAGAGGGAAGTGAACACTCTGTAAGAGGTGAATGTAACGAAGTTCCATTCACCCGGAGCAGGAACGAGTGATAAACAGAGAGAAAGAGAGAACGCTCTGTGCGAGCTGAATGTTAACAAAACTCTATTCATCCCGGAGCAAGGCAAATAGCGTTTGCAGATGTAAGCGATCTAGGGTTCGAATCGCGGTACCACTTTCCCTCCATTTTCCCAGGAGCGCGAGAGCTTTGTTAAGTCGCATGATGTCAATGGCGCCTAGCTAGGGTTCTTTCCAGCGGCCGGAGCACAGCACAGCAAAGGTGAGAGATTTCCCCCCTTTGTCTTGCTCCTCACAGCAATGGCGCAGCGATCTGGCTGTGCGATGGGGATCCAGGGCCTTCTTCCGGCGCTCAAATCCATCACGACATCGACGAATGTGAAAGAGTACTCGGGCATGAGGGTCGCTGTAGACACTTACTCGTGGCTGCACAAGGCCGCATTTAGTTGTAGCAAGGACATTTGCGATGGTCGGGCGACAGCCAGGTGTGTGTAGCTCACCGAGGCCTCTTCTTCTTTCTTACTCTTACAACCAGAGCTTGCTTAGCAGCTTTCTGAACTACTGCATGCACCGCGTGAATCTCTTGCGACACCATGGGATCAAACCTTTGCTGGTTTTCGATGGAGGCTCATTGCCAATGAAAGCCGAGCAAGAAGAAAAGCGCTCCAGGTAACTTCACGTCTATCTCCGCATCGCATTTTGAAGTTTCCATTCCAGAGCCAGGGAAGAGCATCTAAAGCTCGCTCGTGAATGCGAAGCATCTGGAAATCATGCTGCAGCCTACGATCACTATCAAAAGGCAGTAGACATTACTCCCGAAGTTGCGCACCAGCTTATCCTGGTTAGTAATGCAAAATCACATGTCTGTTTTGCAAATGTTGTTTAAGGCTATCAGGTCCTTCGCAGAGAAAATGTGGAATACATTGTCTCTCCGTATGAAGCCGATGCACAGATGGCCTTTCTGGCACTGCGCGGTGTTGTTGACGCTGTAATCACTGAAGACTCGGACCTGGTTGCGTACGGTTGTCCAAAGGTTTTGAAACGCTTGGTGTTATCTTCTCTTTCATGCTAAAGATCAAACAATCTGGCAGATCCTTTTCAAAATGGACAAGAATGGTCAAGGTTTTGAGCTTCAGTATGCTGACCTGGTGAAGAACAGGGACTTGAATCTGACGAGTTTCACAAAGAGGATGATGCTGGAAATGTGCATCCTTAGTGGCTGCGACTACTTGCCATCTTTGCAAGGCATGGGAGTGAAAAGAGCTCATAATTTAATCCGCAGATTTCGAAGCTACGAGAAGGTATGGCACTCTATGTTCTTCAGACGTAGAATGACTTGGTTCCTTTCAGGTGATTAGACACTTGAAATTTTCGGGTGTAATGATACCGAAGTCTTACGAAGAAGGCTTCAGAAAGGCATTGCTTACTTTTTGTCATCACCTTGTCTATGATCCTACGCAAGATGAATTGGTGCACCTTACTGAACTTCCCGCCGACTGCAGCGAAGAGGTGGAGTTTCTCGGACCATATCCTTTTAAAAGTCTATGCATTCTACACTCGGAACTTAACTCCGACAAACAAAGCTTTCCCGAAGTCTCGTGCAGCAGATTGTCCGAGGCGTCATACATCCGGAAACTCATGCTCCACTTCAGGTATACTAGGCTTTGTATTGTCCCGTATGCTAATCACCGTGTGCTAACAAGCTTGCTGAGCCGTCACAGTCTTTATGCGAAGATAGAAAGCCAATTGCAAAACAAAAAGAACAAAAGCGTCTCAACTTACCTGCGCAGAGGAATGTGCTGACAAACTATTTCAGTATCCACAGCAAAAGTGTTCTTGATGATAGAGCATTCATTTCCTTAGCCGATGCAGTTTCGAAGTCGGAGGCATCAACACAGCAGTTCAAGGCTCCAAGAGCTTCAGACTCTCCTGAGAAAGCGGAAATGGAAAGCGAGTCCCTTGCAGGTCCTGCGAGTTGTTTGAGCCCCAGGACACCAAATTCGAGCCCTGACCGCCATCATGTTGTTCGTTTCACTTCCAACGAGGTGCAATGTAGCTTGAAAATAGAGGTAAGGGCTGGTCCGTTATTTTGTGAAGCTTACCGGATATGCTGTTCTGTTTGCAGGAGGATACAGAAATTCGTCATGGCAACAAGAGAATCTGCCTTGAATATGGTAGGCGTTATGTCTTACTTTACTTTGCTTGTCCTTTTCCCTGATCCTTTTCTATCCTTAGAGGAGGAATCAAGCAACGACTCAGACTGTGATATGAGCCAAGAACAGTCTGCGAAGGTGTACTCGATGCAGCAGCGAAGGTTTGTTGCACGGGGTAACTATGTTGTTTCCAGGCCATCGAACGTCAATGACGAGAACGCAATGCGGGTGAGGTGTGTCCTTGTTTCTTGCGGGTCCCTGACGTACTGATCTCCAGCAAGGAATTAAGAAGGTTAGGAAGGCGGGAACTTCCAAGCCCTGCTCGAAGGCAATGAGAGGTAAGCTGGTCTTATCGTACGTAGTAGAACTCGCAAACTAAAATGTTCCATCAGGGAAGAGGTCTCCACCTGCGGAGGCATCGCTTCCGAAGTTCAGCAGCAGTCTACTTGGTGTAAACATGGAGAAAACCGCCACACTCTCTGCAAACGTCGACCATACACAGCGATACTCAGCCATTGCTCAAGAGTCGATTGAAAAGTTTGCGCAGACGATATCCGCGTTTGCTCATGGTGCTCGAGTGAGCGGGCTGCGCCGACCACCGCTGAAGAGCAACTTGACAAACATCAACAGGTACGTAGAGAATAAATCCGAGGCAAGATAAGCACTTGTGCTGCTTGCGCAGGGAGGAAGATGGACTATTTAACAGGGGCCTGGTAGCTAATTTGTGGCAGCTATAGAAACCGAGAGTCGAACCGAGGACCACTGGTCCTATATATATATATATATATTTCAGAGCGACGCCTCTTTTCTAGTTTTAGGGCAGCAATGTGCAAAGCAATGGGAGGGTACCTGATCAAAGGCAAGGAGAACATTGCGTCGGTGAGGCGCGCGGCATCGTCCAACGCCTCTCCTCTCGCGGACAACGGGCAGTCGAGGAGGTGCGCAACAATTCCAACAACCAGGCAAGCGCAAGCAGCTGGGGGCGGGTGTGACACGAGTGACCTGTGCGGCGATGGCGTCCTTGACATGGATTGCTCGCAGCCGAGCAGCAGCAGTAGCAGCAGCTGCCACTGGATGGACAATGGGCCTGACCTGCTGAGAAAGCGAGGGCTCCAAGGCGGCGAGGCTGGTGGCCCAAGGGCATGGAAGAGGAGGAGGGTTGCGACGCTGAACAAGAGGCGGGGCCACAGGGACGAAGAGGGTGGTGGTGGTGGGAAGCGCGCAAAGACGACGGCAACAACAAGACCACCTTGGTGGAATGCGAGCGAGCGAGACGAGGAGCGAGCCAAGAAGAGGCAAAAGGTCGTGGACAAGAAGAGGAAGCGGTGCGAGCAAGGAGGGGAGAGCAGCATTGGCGTCAAGGCCGGCTTTGGCGATCCAAGTGCCGCCCAAGTCCAAATCCAGCAGCACCGTTTTGCTCAGGCGCTGCTTTTGTAGAAATTCGTTATCTTGTTTTTATAAAGTGGAGTGGATGCTTTATTAAATCAAATTCAAAGGGCAGTACTGCCAGGTGGAAGTGGCAGCGCAGTTGACCGTCTGCCCGCGGGCAGCCCGCCCTTCTCCCCTTTGCTGCTCTTTCCCGCGCCTGCGTTTTGTGAAAAGAAAAAGGGTTGCTAAATAGGCGAGAGCGTGCGGGAAGGCGGGAGCCAGCCAGCCAGCGATGCCCACCCATGCCCTACCCTAAGCTCAACCCTATACCCTCTCCCTCCCTGGCTCTGCTGGCGGACAAGAAGAGTGGAGCTCGGATCTAGCGCACGGGCCGCGCCCCGCCGCCGAATCTCTGTGGTTTTGGGGCTCATCTCGCGCCCCGCCAATGCCTGCCACGGATCGGGGCATGGCGCCTAGAGGGTTTGTTGGATCTCGCTTCTTGGCATGAGCAAGGTACGCTGCTGATGATCTAGGGTCGCAGAATGCCCCGCATTTTCACACATCGTCCGTGGCCGCGCAAACAATTTGCTCACATTGCCCTTGTCTCAGGTGCATGGCATGGATTCTCCTAAACGGGAGCAGTGTCTGCCTCCCTGCGGGGAACTCCAGGTGAGTATGACATCCTCTCTCCTCGCTCATCCAGCCGCTAGCTCTGCTGTGCAGGGGTCTCCACTGTTTAAGTTCCTGTGTAGCCTTTCTCCTATCAAGCAGGCCAAGTCCGCTCATGTCGCCCAGACGTACTCGGAACTAAGCTTCCCAGCACCTCTTCCAGTCTTCGTCTCCCCCAAAAAGAAGAGGTGAGGAGCTGCCTACGTTGGCCTTGGTACCATGTCTCTCACGTGTGCTGCTCAGAGAACGCGCTGGAGTTGCTCGCACTAGCGGCCCTACTTCTCGCGAGTCCGAAACGACTGAGGCGTCCGATTTAACTTGCTCACCTCCTGCAGAAGAAGTGCTCACCCAGCAACAGAAAAACACGTCCGATACATCAGCAGACGCTACCGAAGAAATACCCTCCAAACAAGATGCAACGCTGGCTAGTTTTCTTCCTGGCCAAGACCATACCCCCGAGGGTGCAGCGTCATTCAAGGACTTGGGTGACGAGCCGGACAGTGAGGCTGCCAATTTGGAGGTTGCAAACATGGAAAAGCTGGCAATTACTGGACACACCGATCACACAGACTCTACTGTCGAAGATGTGCGGGTAAGCCAGCGAATGCACATTCCAAAGCATCTGACCGTTTCTTTGTCCCGGCTTGCAGACGAGTAGGAACCAGCGGGGAGCCAGACGGAGATGCCTGGATTTTCAGTCCGACTCGCAAGGGTCGAATGCCGAAAATCTTAGCTGCATTGTGTCCCCTGGTGTCTCCTCGACGCCAACCTCCGGGCCAGAGTCTCTTAGTACGCTTATTAGCAGTTTGTCCGGTTCTGCATGCTCTGATTCTTGTAAGAAGCTCATGCGGGAGGCCGTCCCATCTGGTATCGGTTTGCATCTCAACAGTCTGGGACTGCTCACGGCACCACGAGGGGTTTCACTTCAGTCGCTCGTATCGTGCTCGCAAGAGATGCAAAGTGCTGAAGGATTTGCCTTGTGTGGACAAGGTCCTATGAACTTGCGGCCTGGCCTTTTGTTCTCAGTCGTGGAGAAGACAAGAATGGAGCAGGAGGTGCAAGGTACTTCTGGTTCCCAGGAAGGCTTACTTACGTCAACTACGTGCGTCCGATCTCTTACGCTTGGTATTCAAGCAATGGACGAGGGTACTCCGTTTGGGATTGAACAGGTGGTGACACCAGGGAGGAAGCGCTTGTCAATGCAAAGCGATTCCATGGATGGTGAAATGGGCCGGACTCCTAAAAAGAGGAGGTAGTATCTCATATTCTTATGGCTTTGCAAACTTATCTTGCTTGCAGGAAGTCTCTTGGAGAAAAAGCTGGCGACGGCTGCAAGCGATGTCACTGCAAAAAGTCGAAGTGCCTAAAACTGTGAGATTGCATTGCATGTGGCTTTGAAGGTTTCTGACGATTTGCTTAACAGATATTGCGAATGCTTTGCCGCTGGAGTCTATTGCCTTGACTCTTGCGCCTGTCGGGACTGCTTCAACAAGCCCGAGTTTGCTGACACAGTCATGGGAACCCGTCAGCAAATCGAAACTCGTAATCCATTAGCATTTGCTCCCAAAATTGTACAGACATCTGATAACACACCGACGGAAGGGGTTGGTATCTGGTTTTCGCCCTCGCGACATGCCATGACTAACAGCCTCTTTTGCATTGCAGCCCAATTGCCCCGATACAACAGGATCTGCTAGGCACAAGCGCGGCTGTAACTGCAAGAAGTCGCTGTGTCTGAAAAAGTACTGCGAATGCTACCAGGTACAATCAAGTCAAGTCTTTCTGCTTATACTTACCATGTGCGCTTGGTTTTCATCTGTCTAAAGGCTGGCGTTGGCTGTTCGGATGGATGCAAGTGTAATGGCTGCAAAAACATTTACGGCATCAAGAAAGGCACGTCTTTCCTGCTGGTTTCATGTTTCGATTTTGACGGTTGTCTCTGTTCCAGCTCAAGACGAAGCTGATCCATTGGAAGACCCACTCCAGATCAATAGCAACAGTTCTTTAACCAGCCTCAGCCCAATAACCCCCACGCTGATCCAGCATGCATCTGTGTAAGACGTGCTTCCTGTTTTTTCATTTTTGATGAATGACGTTGGTTACTTTGTGTAGATGCACCAGCATTGTGCCATGCGACTCGACAAATACGCCTTCATCGACAACTCCAGCCACATCAGTGAGCAAGCTCATGGACTCCAACAGCTTGGCTTGGGACGAGACCCCCGAGTTTCTGAGAGCCCCGCGCTCGTCTCCCAGGTCGATGCTCAACGACCTGCTGTCGTCAGACGAAGCTCCCGAGTTCATGAGAGCTGAGCGCTCGTCTCCCAGGTCGGGGATCAAGGGCTCGCCAAAGCAAAAGCGAGTGGCCCCTCCCAACGCCGGCCTGCTCGCCGCTGGTGGCGCCCCGTCGTCTTCCTCGGTCCTCAAGAGCGGCAGGAAGCTCACTCTGCAATCACTCCCGTCACTTCCGCCGGTGACACCGTTTTCGTTTCCACACCAGGGATGCAAACGTAGCTGAAGGAAAAGGCCGCGCTCCTTCACTTTCGGTAAAACAAACTTGTATTTGTATGGACCAAGTGGGATGCTGCCTGTCCCAAAGTGAGATATATATATATATATATATATAGAGTGAAATGGTCCTCGTTGACTGTCCAAGCAGAATGTCAACGGGGTGGCACGTCTTTGACGAGGGATGGGGCATGTTCGATCAGCTGGCCGCAAGAAGAGGACATGACTTTGCTCGAAGTTCGTCGCTATGGATGTATAAAAGGAGCGTCCTTCTCTTTTGGGATGCGGCACTGGACACTCTATTCACATTCTTGCCTTTAATGATGCCAATCACAGCGGATTTTCGAAGGCAATGCTGCTGGTGCTTGATCCTTGTTTCTTTTGTTGCTTTGGCGATGATCCAGGTGGTGGAGGCCTCCGGAAGTAAGCCACTCACTCACCCGTAAGCCTACCAGTTTCTAACACTGTTGTTATTGCAGAAAGGCATTGCGCTCGAAGGTGTGTGCCTTCTGGACCCGATCCATCGGGTAACAAGTAACCCAAAATGCAGCCACCAAAATGTTGTAAATAAATAATCGGGCAACAAGTATGCTTGTAAATAATAATACACTTGAAAAGTTTTTGGTTGACCATGCGGACGGGCTAGGGTCTTCTTGTTAAGGGCAGCGATGGTGGTGCGCTACAGCCGAGAGGAGCTCCAGGCGCTGAGGCACGACGCCTCGGAGGAACTGCCCGCGGGTGTAGATGCCGCAGGTATGCTCCATGACAATGTGGTGGTGAGGAGCAAGAGGAAGCGACGTAGGCCTTCTAGGGCTAGCAGCAGCAGCAACAACAAGCGCAGGAGAGTGTCGGCCGATTCTGACGAAGATGGGGATTTTGGGGGGATGTTTGACGAAGAAAACACCGTCTTCCCGGGCTTCTTGGAGGGCCACGATGGCGATTACAACATTGAAGACGACGAGGACGACTACCAAGACCTTGGGCCGATCCAGAAGGTCGCTTTCGTGGTAGAGGGAGAGCCCGACTTCGACAAGGAGGAACCAGACGATGGATGGGAGTACGTGCGTCGTGTCAAGTGGGAGGCAGCAAGGTACCCAGCCGTCAAAGTTGCTACCATCTCTCCCCAACACTCTGTGGACAAACGAACTCACTACGTCCCAGTGGTTCCGGCTATTTCGGCTTGCGATCCTCAGCTCCTGCCAACACAGGACTGGGAAGCCAAGTTCTTGCTCACTTTCGCCAGCCTCAGGTCTAGGTTCGAAGCTCGCGAGCCAAGCTCGTCTCACAGGCCCGTGCCGCACATGAAAGACGACTGTGGATGGAAGGCTCTGTGCTTTGGCAAGGGAGGTGGTGGTGTGGAGGATGGCGTCCCCGTGGCCGAGGAGCTGGAGGAATTTGGTGCCGGGCCACTGCTTTTCTACCGGGGAGAGCTCCACACTCTGCTCGACTTGGATGAAGTGAGTCGAGCAGATCTGCTGCAAAAGCACATAAGGTGGTTTCAAGGCTTGGATCACCTCCCCCACGACAGGGCAGTGTGGCTCTTTGCCTTGACTGCAGCCGTGGGCAAGCCCATTGATGCAGAGACGAGCTTTGCCCTGAGGACGCTATTGAGAAGCTGCGCTGCAATCCGAGCTTCCAAAACGTTTAAAGACCAAGGCGAGCTCCAGATGCTCAACATGATTATCACAGTTGCTGGTAAATACTTTGGACAGGATGACAGTCATTGCTTATAAGAAAAAGGAGGGAAAATTCTAGAAAAGCGCGTTCCTTCCTACTTAGATGGTATTTAGCTTCTTCTCCAGCAGCTCCTCCTCCACCTCGCAGTAGTCCATTGCCAGCTTGAGCCGTCTCTTCATGCTCGAGTACTCAGCAATTTGGTCCTCCAAGTTCCTCTTGCGGCTCTCCCGCGATCCTGCCTTGGTCAGCTCGCTTCCCAGCTTATGGCTTGCCATGACGGAGTGTAGCAGTGAAGCCGCTATGGTGAGCACCGGATCCGAGCTCATGGCGGTTCCTCCATCGCCACCCTTGAGTGCCGCCTTGAGTTCGTCGCCAACTCTGTCTTCGCCACCCTTCTTGGCCGGAGTCATCTCCACGTCTCCATTGCTGTCCTCGCCAGCATGGTCGGCCGGGAGATCTCGCCCCCACAGCTGCTTGAACACGGCCTGCAGTGCATCCACGGCCTGGCTTCGCTTCCGCCCACCCGGCTTGCTGCTCTCGTACTTGTCAAACTTGGCCTTCATGCGCCGGTGCTTGTCGAATATCTGTTCCTTGGTGAAATCGGTGGACAGCTTCCCCTTGAGCGAGTGGCAAAGCTCCTCCCAGTAAGGGTCCGTCTTGGGCTTGTCGTGGAAGTCGGAGCCGGCCTTGAGATCGTCCAGCATTTGCTGTGCCAGAATGCTCTCGTCTTTGGCCACCCACAGGCCCTTCTTCGGCCCCGACTTGGGCTGCTGCGGTGCGTCCGTGCCAGCGCCATCCTTATCTTGTTGCTGCTGCTGCTGCGCCTGTGATGCTGGGGCCGCTGGTGCTGGCACTGCTGGCGGCGGCGGCGGTGGTGGCGGCGGTGCTACTACTGTGTCAGTCTCTTCACTAGACCTGTCCACGCTTTGACGCTTCTTAGCCTTGCGAGCAGCCTTAGTCTCCTTCTCCTTGTTGTCCCTCTCCTTTTCCTTGAGGTTCTCCCTCTCCTTCCCTTTGTCCTCCTTCTTCACCACTTTGTTGGGCTTCTTGGGCGGGGGCGGGGGCGGCTCTGGCGCCTTGACAACCTCCGTGCTGCTGTCATCCGACTCCGACTCCGTCTCCGTCTCCGACTCTTCCTTGGCCGGGACCGCGACCTTCTGAGCTGCCACTGCCTTCTTCACTTCCTTGGGAGCCGGGGGAGGAAGAGGGGCGGTGTCGTCGGAGCTCTCGTCAGCTAGGATGCTCTCTCTCGTTTTCTTCTTCGCCATTCTGACAAGAGACCACGAGTAACAAGCTCACCTTGCTCCGCCGATAAAGGAACCCTAGCTATAAAACCTTGACAGAATATTTTCTGGAATTAACTAGCTCGCTTTGATGCTGTTGGACAGCGTCACGTACGTGGAGGCCGGAGGCCAGCACGACTCGGACAGGAATCGCTGCCCAGCTTGCCTTCCTCGCTCCACATCACCGTGCAAGGTGCACGACGCAAGCAGGGCCGACCACGCGTCGCCGCTCACCTCCGCCGCCAACTCCTCCGCCTCCGCCAGGCGTCCGCTCCGACCCAGCAGATCCACAATGCAGCCTTTTTCGATGCTGCTGGGAGCCACTCCAAAGTCCCGCTCCATGTCCCGGAACGCCTGCCATGCGCCTTCCAAGTCTCCCGAGTGGCTACACGCGCTCAGCAAACTCACAAACGTACAGTTTGCTGGATCCACTCCCTGCTGCTGCATCCTGTGGAACAAGCTCTTTACTGTCTCCGTGACTCCCTGCCGGGCACAGGCCGCCATGAACACGTTCCACGCCCCCGACGAGCTTCTGTGCCATGCAATCCTCTCAAAATGCCTGCTCGACTCCGCCAGCTTCCCACACCTGGCGTAGAGGCTCACCAGTCCGGTGGCCACGCCCGTGTCCGACTCGAGTCCCAGCTCCCGGACTAGCCTGTCAACCGCTCGGCCTTGCTCGAGTGCTGTGGACTCGGACAAGGAGTCGAGCACAACAGCCAGGGTGACCCTGCTCGGCTTGCACCCTTCCACCAGCATGCCTCTCAAGAGCGTCATGACCACCTCATCATCACGTCTCGTCACGTCCTTGGAACAGGCGGAAATGAGCGCGTTCCACACCACCACGTCTCTCTCGGTCGTCACCTCAAACACCCGCCTCGAGTCCTCCCACCTCCCGCACTCCCCATACATGTCGATCAAGCTGCTCGCCACCTCTGCGTCGTCTTCCAGCCCGAGCTCGCGGACGTGCTGGTGGATGATGCCGCCTTGGCACAAGTTGCCATGCTTTGCGAAAATGCTGAGCGCCGTGATCAGCGTCACCTTGCTAGGAGTCACTCCTTCCAGTCGCATCCTCTGCAAGCATGCCACCGCCTTTTCACGGCAGTCCTCCTCGTCGCTTGTCTCGTCGTAGGCCGACAGCAGCGCCGTCCATGACACCACGTCTCGCTTCTCCATTCCCGAGAACACCACCTCCGCGTCGCGTGCACACCAACACCTGGCGTACATGTGAATCAGGCTGTTGCTAACTTGAGTGCTGGATCCCAGCCCGCGTTCGCGAATCCACTCGTGAATCTTCTTGCCTTCCTGCGTGATCGCGACCTGACAACCACCGCTGCAGCAGCTCACTGCTGTTGCAGCCGCCATCAGAGTGATTCCGTTTGGCTTCTCTCCTTGGAGCTGCATTCTCCTCAGCAGATGCAATGCCTCCTCCCAGTAGCCGCTCTCCGCAAACGCTCCCAACATTGCGTTCCACGAGACCACGTCCCTTCCCAGTCCTTCGAAGGCTCTCTCGGCCTCCACTAGCATTCCGCACTTGCCATGCACGCTTATGAATGCGTTACGGACCAGAGTGTCCGTCGCCACTCCAGCCTCTACTGTGCAAGTGCCAAGAAGCTGCCCGAGCTGCATTTTCTTCTTTTCATCCAGCCCCGCGTACGACTCCAGTGCGGAGACGATGGTGAACCGGTCCGGCTGCTGGCCGTCGAGAAGCATCTGCAAAAACAGCAGCCACGCACCTCCAGAGTCGTCGTGGTTTGCATGAGCGGTGATCATAACGTTCCACAACACACTGTCCCTATGCACCATGGTGTCAAACACGTCTCGCGCCCGCCCCAGCTCCCCAAACTCTGCGTACAACTTGACAAGGACGGTCTGGATGACCACGTCCACTGCGATGCCGGCGTCGGTCATGCAATCCACCAGGCCCTGCAGCGTCACTGGCACGTCGCACGCCGTGAAGATCCTCGCAAAGCTAACTTCGTCTGGAGATGACGCACCATCGAGGAGCATATTTTGAAACAGCACCATCGCTTCCTCTTTGAAACCGAGCTCGACGTAAAGACCGATCATGGTGTTCCAGGAAGCACTCGTCTTTACGTATGCGGCGCAGTCGAATATCCCCCTGGCCTTTTCGACACCACCCCCGCATTTCCCAAACATGTTGAGCAGCGCATTCACCACGGGAGCGTCCGTCCGGCACTCGTGCTCGGAGATACAAGCGTGAATCCGGCTGGCGTCTGCTAGCAAGTCCGGGGTAGAGCAGGCCGTCATAACGTTGATTAAGGCGATCTTATCAGGCGTCACTCCCTCGAGGTGCATCGAGTAGAAAGTTGTCACTGCTTCCTTGTTCCTGCCATTGCTCACGTAGGCGGCCATCAAAACGCTCCATGGTGCAGAGCGCTCGTGGCACACTGTGCTCTCGAACACCAGCCGTGCATCTCGCAAGCTCCCACACTTGCCATACATGTTCATCAGTGTTGTTCCCACGAAACTGTCCAACTCGTAGCCGCTGTCCAAGATCAAAGTGTGTAGCAGCTTTCCCTGTGCAAGGTGGTGACGAGAGTTGAAAGCCTTAAGTAGATTGACGAAGGTGACGTTGTTTGGAGGCACTCCTTCGAGTTGCATTCTCTGGAATAGCATCATGGATTCTTGGAACATGGTATCTTGACCAGCATACACCGCAATGAGAGAGCTCCAGGATATGACATTCGGCTCCAGGATGCGGTCAAACGCCTCTTGGGATTCCCTCGGCTTTCCGCACTTGCCATACATGGTCACGAGGATGTTTCCAATGTAGCAATCCTGTTCCAAGTCACTCCTCACCTGCTTGAGTTCTTGGTGGATGCGTTTTGCTTGGATGTAATCCGCTGCGTTGCCGCAAGCCAGCAGCAGTCGAGCATACTCCGCTGCCGATTTCTCCCCCACTGGGCATTTATCGTCCATCCCCTGTTTCGAAGCCTGTGATCTCTGCTCCGCGGCCATAGTGGCAAACCAAATTCTTGGAGGCCATTCTCTCTTTCCCCACGCTGCTTGAGCACGAGAAAGAGCTCTTCCCGAGGGAGACAAGCGCATTGAAAAGGCAAGCTTTCCACCCTTTACAAATACCCCTGCAAGGCACACACGGGTTCATCCCGGTCATCTTGAAGAAACTTCAAGCCCGCCACCAGATAAGAAACAGTGCTGTGAGGATCAAGCACGAAAACGTGGTGCACAGCTCTTAGGCCCCGAACAAGGTCCCCTTGATCTCTGCAGCCACCCAGCAGACTAATCCATGCCGCCCGCGACACTCTCTCCCCACTGTGCTTGATCTTCATTCCATCACCTTCTTCGACGTTTCCGACTTTTTTTCTCTGTGAGCTTGAGCAATAGCAGAGCTCTCAGCTTTAACACAGAACAAGAAATAAAGCAGGAAAGAAAGAGAGAGTTATCGTCGAGAGAGGATTGTGATCAGAGAGCTACAGTGGTGCTAGCACTCAATCACATTCTCATTGCCGAACAAGAGTGATCATCCAGGATTGCCTAATAAAATGAAAGAACTTCGAGCCCTTCGCTGGAAAACAAAAACATTCCTGGCAAATAAACTCTTTGTGATTAAGACAAACCTTTTTCTCTATCGAAAAACAAAAGGAAGAGACGTGCATTTTTTGAGTCAGTCGTGAAATGCCCGAGCGGAAACGAGTGCCATTTCGTCCAAAGTGATCACGAACCATACAAAATAATTCCCATTATCTCTGTGGCATTATAAAAAATCTGCCAAATGGATCGTGCTGTCTTCTTCGAGATCTTTCGTAATTTTTCTTTTTTTGCTTACCTCAATTGATAGGGAAAAGTTTGTTTATATTGTTTCTTAAACAAGAACCAAGCTCCTCTCGTTTTGTACATATTTCCTGTGGTCAAGTTCACATTAAATCAATCGGGTGATACTCACCTGTGTTTTCTTTAATTTTCTTGATGCTCGATCTTCTGTGTCCCTTTTTCCTGATGAAAGCCAAGCTGAAAAGCCAAACGATTCAATCAATCAATGAGTTTTGGCTGATTTGTATCCTTTGGAGAAAACTTTCATTGAGTTAGAAATTGTGGACCACGTCTTCACCCTGGAAATAAGAAAAGATAGAAAACAAGTTTTAATCTTCATGCAATCGATAAACAAAAGATTAATAAACCAGCAGCAAGAGCAGCAGCAATCATGAACACAACAGCTGTTGTGCAACAAGCACTGAAATAAAAAAAAAGGAGAATAAAAGGGAAAAGAAAGAGAACTGCATTGGAAGGCAAAACATCAATTAAATAGAGCAGTCTGGAGTAGTGAGTTTAAGCTTTTCTTCTGCATGCTGCAAATTTGGGTGATAGCAGTATTTTTGTCAATAGTGATTTTGTCACTCTAGATTCCCTGCTTGTCATACGTTTTGAAACAATTCACCAAAGGTATGGTCACATGGTGAGGAAGTCTTAAACATTAGTTGACTTAATGGATGGGCTTTCAGGCCTGGTGTTAGCAAGCACTACTATAAATGGAGAGGGACTTCATAGGGATAAAAAAAAATGATATTAGAGAATGGTGTCCCCTATATCTTGTGGTCATCCCATGACTATTTACGGATGGATGGCTCAATTGTGGAAATATGGTATTGTAATATGGGTGGTCTTATATTACTAATAAGATATTAAGAATGGACACAATTTTAGTGTTAAAGGCAAGTACATTAATAATACTTTTTAGGTGTCTAAAGTGGGACTGTGTAAGCAATTAACTCCTTATAGTGTCATATGCTAAAATATCCCGAAAATCATGACTAGAACAATAAAAAGTTTATCAAATGAGATTAAGTCCAAGATCAAGTCTAATACCAACTCCAAGACCAAGTTCGAGATCAAGTCCGAGATTCAAGATTGGGTCCAAGACCAAGTCTGAGATTGAGTTCAAAACCAAGTTTGAGGTCAATTCCGAGATTGAATCTGAGACTAAATTTGAATATGAATACAGATTGTGGAGTGAACGCTCAAAATCATCATCCCCCACCCCCGCCCCCTGCAGGGAAGCCTTTGCAAGGGGTTCCAAA